CCAAGACTGTTGACTGTGGAGCCAAGCAAACTAAAGCTGTGTACAATCTCAATCTCTTCACCATCCATCCTGATGCTGCCAATTGGTCCAGTGGATGAATAGCACAATTAAATCTTATTTACAAAAAATATAAAAGGGCAAGTCATACCCAAAGACACCTCAAAATTATATAAATCATATTACTTTTATTTTAAATTTTTTATTAATGGATATTAATGGAAAAATGGCTGCCAATATACATTGGCATATCAATCAGCAAACAAAAAGACCTTTAGTGAAATGGAAGGATGCATTAACAGGACAATGGAAAGGACCCAACCCTGTGCTAATATGGGGACGAGGTCATGTATGTGTTTTTCCACAGGATGAAGATGGCCCTCGCTGGATTCCTAAGCGTCTTGTGCACCACTGTGATGGCTGAAGAAACACATTGGGTGTATGTTCCAGATCCACCCTTACTTCACCTTGTCAGCTGGAAGGAACCGACCCTCACCATAGATGTTAATGACACTCAAGCCCTAGGATATCCATCTGATAATCACAAAGAATCAATCAGTCAAAATTATAACTTTACCAGAATGGGACATGTTTCCCCTGTTTCTCAAGAATAAGACGTGGAAATCCTCCTAGTGGTTGTACCAAAATTACCAATTCCACAATTTTTACCAGCACTAATTCTTTTGTACAATGGAGTGTCTCTTAACTTTCTGTAAGTTTCAGATGAATACTCAATAATAATAGTACTAAAAGGCCCAAAGGCATCCCACTGTGTAAAGAGAAAGAACATGATGGTGTGTGGCAACCACATTGGAGAAAATGTTGTGATGAGAAGTCCGTGGTCATAAATGTTACTGCAGATTTGAACTTGTACGACGGGGCTCCATCAAATGGAGTCGGAGCTGGAGGATTAGTAGGAGAGACTTGGACTGTTGATCACCATAATTATCAAATTGAGTTATGGAAATTAGTAGCTGGGTTTGGTAATGTCAACTTACACTGCCAAAAGTGTCGTAAAAATCTTACAATAAGACACATAAACGCCTATATACCTGAACCTTATGTATTAATAGTTGGACAAAGTCAAGTTAATTTTCTACGAAGTCAATATAATATTTCTTGTCCTCTATGTAATATTACTAATTGTATTAATGGTATCAGTGAAAATAATTCTGTAATCATTTTAAAGAAACCTTCATTTATTATGATTCCTGTAAAAATCAATGCAACATGGTATTCAGACACCAGTTTACAAATCTTGAAAGAATTAAATGCTTTGACTATAAGAACTAAAAGAGCTTCAGGATTAATAACTGGAGGAATAATGTCATTAATAGTTAAAATAGCTGTGTATCTGCGTCTGTTCTTGTTTTGATGCAAGAAGTGCAAACTGCTGAATCCATAAATGATTTAATGAATAATGTTACTAATAATTAGCAAGAACAAGAAAGTATAGATGTTACGATGGAACATAAATTAAATTATTTATATGATACTGTTAATATGTTAGGGATTATGATGCCACAAATTCCGTTTAGGAAAAAATTAATCTGTCATGCGGCTTATAATTCTATTTGTATAACCAAGTTAAAATATAATGAGAGTAATTATGATTGGGAAAAGATTGCACACCATCTTAACGAAATTTGGAGATCCAATAACGATTCCTTAGGCATCTTTAAATTCCATCAACAAGTATTAGAAATGCAAAATACCCCAAATTAGATATTACGCCAGGACAAATGGCAAAAGAAATTTACGAACATTTTCTTAAATGGTTCCCTTCAAATAATTCTTTTAAAAGTCTAGTGATCACTTTGGCTGGCATAGGTGTATTAATCCTTGGGCTACTGTGGCTCCTTCCAAGTGCTCTATGGACGATAGCCCGGAGATAGAAAGAACTCCTTGGGCAAATGCATGGATTACAACTTAAAATCTTGCCCCGAAAAATGCAGGACGTGTAGCCAATGACGGGTAAGACCTTGGCTCCTCCTTAGCAACCTAAGACAGGGCTCACGCCAAGATATGTGCATCTCCATGCCGGGTAAGCAAGGAAAGCAGGTCCAAGGCACCTAAGACAGGCACTGTCCCATTAACAAGTAAATAAATTAGGCGGAATTGTAGCAAGCCATACTGTGGCCATTTTATGCAAGTAGCCATTTTGTGCCAGGTTCAAATGTGCAGAGCTGTTTATCACTGTGGTTTGATGTTTGAAGGGAAGCAAAAACAGATTTAATCATTCCTTGTACCCCAAGGCCAAGGGGATGTGGAGACTAGAATGTCCCTCCCTAAAGACTCTGTTTATACTTCAATTCTGATGGCCTTGCCTGCTGCTGCTAAGAAGAGCAAACAGCCTTGCTAGCAGGTGACACATGAATCAGAACAAAATGTATTATTGGCCTTGAGGCTGAGTTGTTTTTCTGTTCACTGCAAAATGAGGATAAAAGGACAGGAA